AAAAAAAAAAAAAAACTAAAGTGAAAATACCAAGAAATTGGGTTTAGATTCTAAAGAGGTCTAAATTTTTTTTTTTTTTTAATTCGGAAAACTGACAATGAACTATAAGGAGAAAAAGAAGAGAAAACAAAGCACCCACCAAGACAATGAGACACTGGAAGAAAGCAGACTGTTACCTCCCAGGCGTGACTCTGCACTCACAGGTGAACTTCAGACAAGCGTACCAGCTCCCGAAACGGGCTGGGATCAGAAGCTCATGCTGCCTTTCATAAAGGCAGCCTTATAACAGGGTGCCTTGCAAAGGGTCTGTTGGTGAGGATGAGCGGCTCCTCAAGAGCAAGGACTTCCGCCAGGTCCCTTCCAGGCCAGGCTCCTTCTAGATTTCAGTAGACACTTCCCCGCCTCCAGGAGGACAGACACTTGACCAGACAATCCAATAATCTACTAATCACTAAATAACTGTCTCAATTCATGAAGCCGTTTAGTTAAACTGACAAAACACTCCAGTTTCATGATTTGGAAAAAAATGGTACAATATATTCTGGAATGAAAAACTGTAAAACCATGTGAACAATAACATTTTAAGTGCTGTAAACTGGTGAGTGTTACTACATACACGGAAGAGGTCTTTCTTCAACACCTTCCTGCATCTTTAACTCATAATTCCTTCAAGGCATAAATACTGCCATTCTTGAAACCAAGAAGACACAGACTATATCTTGGGTAGTTTAAAAATATATAAAAATTTTAAATATTAATATTTTAAATAAAATAAAGTCTAAGTACCACAATGGACAAATGGAAGTCTTTTCTCTCAAAAATAATGACAAATTTGAGTTGTTTAAGAAAACACATGTAGAACTGACTGGGGCGTGCTTCTCCGGGAGGCTTTCATGCAGTTAAACTACATGCAAACCACAGTTTCATCTACGTCAATCTGCAACATTTTAAAACCACACAAAAAGGACAGGAAACATTTAGTACAGCCAGGAACCCGGCAACGGGCTCTTGCTGCTGCAACTAACCCAACAGCTCACACTTCTCCGAAGACGAGGAGCTAGGCCAGCTCAGGCTAGAGAAAACACCCCCAGGTATGTCATTTTAAATACTTAAATCTATTCAAAGCTTTTCCACAGAAGGCAAGTTGATGACTCTCGGTTGTCTTTACAGAGTACCAACTATTAAACTCTAAGTAGATCCTGCCTAAAAATTACTCTATGGTTCTGTTCTCTCTGATGCCCCATCCATCTGTCTCAAAAAGACAGTTTAATTCAAACCAAGCTAAATAGCCTGGTGAGCAGTACTCTTCGGTCACTTAGTTTTATAACTGGCTGGACAAAGGCCATATCACAGGTCTTTCTAGCAGGACACAACGGTCTGAAACTTCCTTTGCTCTAGAAACATACCGTAGATCATTTCACACACTTTGCCTGTGACTCCCATGGAGGATCCAGCTAGGTTTTTGCCAGCCATGGGTACTGTACAGGGGGCAAAGAAGACACTGCAGATCTCTCCTTGGACTGGCTGGAGTACTTGACATTTCCACTGGCTCATAACTGATTGGTAAAATATCCATCAGGCACTTAGTTCTTGAATTTGTGATAGAGAACATAGGATATCAGAAAGGTATGATTTAAGCTCAACTGGAAATTCTAAGTAAACCGTTTTCATTGACATCTAGATGGAATTTCATAAAAACATGGTTCTCAGGCTGAAAAGCTGCAGTCTATTTTAAATAAATCACTCACCTATAAAATACATAGTGAATTCTAATTAGAATAATAATTAATCAAAACCAACTATCCTAATTCTTCTCTCTCTCACATAAGTCTACTGAGAAGACATGCCATGTAACTGTGCAGGCACCAGGGAGCTCGCCACACACCATGATGCCACTATCTGTGTAACATTTCGAATGGGAGCACTGAAGTCTAAATCCCACCACCCTGTAAGGAGACAAAAGGCACAGGTGGGAGGTGAGATCAGGGCACAATGACACTAGTTTTTGGACTCAGAGGTGAAAAGGCTGCTCATGATTCCAAGGTGCAAATAAATGGCAACTCCAGGCACCAAGGAAATTGGGGATGGGCAGGAGTTGGGATGAACCAGCATAAAGGCAAGGAGCCTAGAAGACAATGCTCCAGGACAGCTCCTCACCCTGCTCTGAAAACTGCAAAACCTTGAGTAACACACAAGAGGCAGACCTTGGTCTCCTCGCCTGACTGGATGCTCTCAGTAAAGGTTATGCCCATCACTGATGTCCTGGGATCCCAGAGCTCTATCACCTGCCAAAGTACCGGGGCAGCAGGACCTGTTCTCAGACAGTGAAGGTCCCACCAACCTGAACAGGGAATTGGGATGGGCAGCGGACACAGCAGCAGACCCCATGCTGAGCACATGCAGGGCCCTGGCCTGCCTCTCAGCCATGGGAGCAGTGGGTAGTAGGGACAGAGGAGGGACCTCAGTTATGGAACTTCAGTCTAACTAGGCTTAGTTTTTAAATGTACTTATTGTAAAATGAAACAGTAAAATGCTCGGAGAATGGACACTTCTTTTATTAGTGCTCAGGGGAAGGTCAAGAGTGAATATCTTACTTCAGCTTTCACCTGAACACTGCTCAGAACATCAGAACACGATCCTGCCGTGGCTAGTAAGGCCTGGTCTTGTGAGGACTGGTGGCTGCATGGTTAAGCATCTTCATCACATCCCTCACCGGTGTTACTTACCATGATGATTATGGGGACAGTGTTTTGGAGTGGTGTGGAATGTAGCTTCTGAGAGCAGACTGGGGTCCTGGCTCTAAAACTGAGAGCTACATAACCATGACCAGGGAACCTCATTATGGCTCACTCTGCTGTCTGCAAAGCACAGACAATGACAGCTATCCCACAGGAGGGATGGAAGGTTCATGGCACACATACAGCCGTCAACAGGCACAAAGTGTGTACTCCACTGTCCCGGCTGAGTTTGATATAAAATGACATTTTTCATAGAGCTGAAGCCCTGGTTGGGGCAGATAAAGGGAAGGGCATGTGCCTTATAAGTGACACCTTAACTTAGGGAATTTTAGGTGCAACTGTCTTATTAATCTCTTTGCACATATTGTTTCATTCCAAGATTGACACAATAGTTCATTAAATAGTTTTTGAGAAAATTTAGACATCGAAAAGTGTGTGTCTGTCCTTTTGTTTTAAAGAGAGACTAAATGTCTGATGTGACTCTCTAAGTCAGCCACTACATGCAGTATTTCGAACTTTTACAAAGGTTACATATGGATCAGGCACAATGGCACACATCTATAATCCAGTGACTCAGGAGGCTGAGGCAGAGGGGGGCAAGTTCAAGGCCAGCCTCAGCTACTAGTGAGACCCTGTCTCAAAATAAATTTTTTTTTAAAGGGCTGGGAATGTAGTTCAGYGGTAAAACACCATTCTCTCGCCACACCTAACAAAAAAAGGACAACAGTTTGTATATAATTTTTTTCCCCCAAGACACAAATGTAATACTATGAGTTTTAAAATGAAGAAAAGTTGGTGCTACTCAGAGAAAAAAGCAGTACCAGAAAAGAGTCCCTGTGGCCCTGTCAAAGGACCCACCTAGCCTGGCCCCCCTAATAAACCCAACCAGGTTTGGGATGTGGGGACAGATGGTGAGATTTTAATGTCGTCTTCAACCCTGATTCCAGGCTCTGGGCTCCTGACTTCCCCTAACCTACCACAGAAGGAAAACCACCAGTGGTGAGGTCAGGTGCTCTGATGCTAACTAAGGCAGCAGAGCCTTCCTCAACGAGCAAACATCTATGTTCCAGAAGCTTCTAAAATACATCTTTCACAAAACTATGTGGAAACACTGCCAGGGAAACATCTGTACCAGTACTGCCCAACAGCAAGAAAACCAAATCATAAGAATAGTTTGTTTTTCTAGTAGTGACATTCTAACAAGTAAGAAGAAACAGGAGAAAGGAATTTCATTAATATATTAAACCTAATATCCCCCAAGAACACTTCAACACATGCTCAGCATACAATATTAATAAAATCCTAAAAATGAATTGCTAACTGAGGTATAACTTGTATAAAACAGTCCAATTAGCATTTCTTACAAGGTCTTTTTTTGTTTGGGTACCGGGCATTGAAATCAAGGATACTCAACCACAGAGCCACATCCCCAGCCCTATTTTTTGTATTTTATTTAGAGACAGGGTCTGAGTTGCTTAGCACCTCGTTTTTTACTGAGGCTGGCTTTGGAATCACAATCCTCCTATCTCAGCCTCCAGAGCCACTGGGATTACAGGCATGCGCCTCCGCGCACAGCTGCAGGGTGTTTCTGATAACATTTTGTACTACATCTTCAAACCCAATGCTGGACACCACAGGTATATTCCACTGTGACACAGGAGTAATTGGAGGGAGATAAAAAGCACCCATCCAAGACCAGAATCTAACCCTTCTCTCTCTCTCTGCTAGAAAGACAAATGAAATGAAATTTTGGTACTGAAAATGTTCTAACAGGCTACACAGTTTTAAAGACTATACTTTTCAAGTAACACTTTTCTAATCCAATGGGTTTGTGGCCATCCTGTCCGCTTAGGTTCTCCCAGCATGAGGAGTTACAAAACCCATAAAAAGAAAGCCAGGGTGCCTTGCTGACAGTCACACCACCAGCTTCCTCTCTGAACTTCTCAGAATCTCTGCAATCTCACATCCTCTGCGCAGTGATAAGAGCTATCAGAACACAAAAAAACCTTGGGCCAGAACAAAACCCCAAGGCCACAGCATCAGACAATGAAACCCAAGCTTGCCCCAACCCAGGACAGTCCCCCAGGTCACGCAGTCTAGTAAAGGACCCCCTAAGAACTGTAAAGTAGAGGGCATTATGCATGCAAATGGCTTTAAAGAAAATAGTTTCTAATTTTAATTACTAACCTTTCCCCCTTTTTCTTAACAGATTCTTTGGGTTTTTATTGGTTTTAGTTGAAACCATCCTTTCTTTCCCTGAAAATGATGAACAGCTCGTCCTTCTGTCCAGTTTACAGAGATCTAGAGCCTTTCACTTATTTTTTTTATCTGGTTTTCCTCATTGGAATTATCGGAAGTTGCTTTGCAGCCTGGGCTTTTACACAGACCCCCACAAATCACAGGTGTGTGAGCATCTACCTGATCAACTTGCTTACTGCCGATTTCCTGCTCACTCTGGCATTGCCAGTGAAAATTGTTGTGGACCTGGGTGTGGCGCCATGGAAGCTAAGGATATTCCACTGCCAAGTGACAGCCTGCCTGATCTACATTAACATGTACCTATCCATCATCTTCCTGGCCTTTGTCAGCATTGACCGCTACCTCCAGCTGATCCACAGCTGCAAGATCTACCGCATCCAAGAACCTGGATTCGCAAAAATGATCTCCACAGTTGTGTGGCTCATGGTCCTTCTTATAATGGTCCCCAACATGGCAATTCCCATCAAACACATCCGGGAAAAGCCGAATGTAGGCTGCATGGAATTTAAAAATGAATTCGGAAGAAACTGGCATTTGCTGACCAACTTCATATGTGTAGCAATATTTCTGAATTTCTCAGCCATCATTTTAATATCCAACTGCCTTGTGATTCGACAACTCTACAGAAACAGAGATAATGAAAACTACCCAAACGTGAGACGGGCCCTCGTCAGCATCCTCCTGGTGACGGCGGGCTACATCGTTTGCTTCCTGCCCTACCACATCGTGCGGATCCCGTACACCCTCAGCCAGACGGAGGTCATCTCTGACTGCTCCACCAGGATCTCGCTCTTCAAAGCCAAGGAGGCCACGCTGCTCCTGGCAGTGTCCAACCTGTGCTTTGACCCCATCCTGTACTATCATCTCTCAAAAGCATTCCGCTCTAAGGTCACTGAGACATTTGCCTCACCTAAGGAGACTAAGGCCCAGAAAGAAAAAACAAGGTCTGAAAATGATGTGTAAAATGTGGGGCTTCTCATGCTACTGCCTCCTCCTTTACAGGACCTTTAAAGCTATTTACAGTTTTGAAAGGCAGGGAAAAAAAGGGGGGGAGGGGTCTTGGTAATAAAAAATACAGACAGCAAGCAAATGTGGACTGTCTTACACAGAAACCCAACTTCTAAATGCAAGCCAATCTCATACTACTACTGCGGTTGTCAAACTACTGAGCCCAGATATTTGTACAAGAAAATCAAAGAGGGTTGTTCAACCAGTGTCAATCTGTGCAGTATCCTTGAAATCAAAAAGTGTCCATGACACATACTCAGGTATTCATTTAACTACCCAGAACTGACCTTTCCAATGAAACAGTAAAATAAGCTCCCTGTGAATTTCCAAGAAGCCCCTCAGCAAAACAATTTTAAAGGACTTCAGATAACTTTAAAAGACAAAAAAAAAAAAAAAGTATACAAAACCACCTGTTGCCTGATTTATTTTGAATTCATTACTTAAAAAACAGTAATCCTTCAGTCTGCTACTCTTCCAGGTTTTTATTTTTTTTTTTATTTTTATGTGGTGCTAAGGATCGAACCCAGGGTCTCATGCATGCTAGGCAAGCGCTCTGCCACTGAGCTACAGCCCCAGCCCCTCCTCCAGGTTTTAACATCAAACTTTTTCTAATAGCTAAGAGCTTTGGGGTTTGGGGTTGTAGATCAGTGGTAGAGCACTTGCCTAGCATGTGTGAGGCCCTGGGTTCAATTCTCAGCACCGCATATAAATAAAATAAAGTTCCATTGACAACTAAAAAAAAAATATATATATATATATATATATATAATATATATATATATATAATATATATATATATATATATATATTTTAAAAGCTTTTATTTATTAAAAAAACTTAAAAATTCATGGATAATTTTTAATGTGTTACATAAGCTTATATTCAATCAGTAAATTACAAAGGCTTCCTATTGTAATAATAAATCTAGTGATTTCATGTTTTTATTTTGTCATATTATGATAACACACAGGCCCTATTTCATTTTCAAAGGGAGTTATTAGATTATACCAGGTATTGAAACTATCATTTCCAAACCAGAAACTCATGTGGAAGGTATGGAAAAATTTTTAGCTCCAGATGGTCTTAAAACAGACACAGCAGTGCCACACAGCAGGCCATGTAAAGGACACAAGGGCTGGGCCGGTGGCCAGCTCGGGCCCAGGGAGATGAGCCTGCCCCACRTGGGGCAGGCTATTTGAAGTACAGGAGACTCCAGTGCTCRGGGTCCTGGCTCTGATCAAATTCTCTCCATGGCCAGTGATACAGGTAGGCCTCAGCACACGGCAGTAAACAGCAGTCAGTCGGAGGAGGGTGGGAAAGTTTGGCAAGCACATGTGAGCCTCAGCCCTCAGCATCATTAGTCAAACCCTGACCAACAGCTGGCAGCAGACCGCATCGTCTACCATGGTTAAGAAACCGTGGCCCTGGGTGTCATGTCCAATTCTGAACTCATTTTTGCATGTGGAGAATCCTTTTCTAAAATCTGAAACTCTTGTCTACAATTTTGCAAATATATTTTCTGAGTCTGAAATAAATTATAAATGACAAAATGCAGAAAGTGTCTACTAAAAAATGTGTAACAAGGTAAGTCTGGACACATCTGGCCTGCAGGTAACAAGGACAGCCACGCTATCAGCATCGCAGGCCGATGTCCAGGCTGGAGAACACCTGTGCATGCTGGTGGCCTGAACGACAGGCTTGCTGATGGGCAGATCAAAATGGCATCTGTGCAGCAGTGTACATGAAGCTGGTGTGTGTCTATGGACCGCCAGGCAACCCCTTTCCTCCCCCTTGGTCTTTATTCACTGGGGCCACACTAGAGTGAAAAGAATCCCCAAGTTCTTGGCCTTCTCCTCACAAGCATGGTGGGTCATCAGACTTCCCCTTTCTTTGAAGGAACAGAGCCACATTCTCGGCAGCAGCACTGATCGTCCTAGCACACTCTACTTCCCCCGACGGTCTCCGGATTGTACTGGTGGTAAGGGTGACTCAGGACAATCAGTGGTGGAGAGCTGTTAAAAATGCTATATCTTGCCAGGTGCAGTGGCCCACTCCTGTGCTCCCAGTGACTCAGGAGCATTAGACAGGAGGACCACAAGTTCAAGGCCAGCCTCAGCAACTTTGTGTGTGAGATCTTAAGCAAAGTAAGAAGACCCTGTCTCAAAAAAAAAAAAAAAAAAGAAAGAAAAGAAAGGATCAAGGGTGTAGCTCTGTGATAAAGCAACCTGTGTTTAATTCCCAGTACGAAAATAGTAATAATAATTTTTTTAAATGCTATGTCCTAAACACCAATTGTACAAGCACTTCTGCTAGGATGGCATTACAGTTTCATTATGTCTGGACTCATCATGGACCTGGTCCCTGAAATCACAATGCTCTCTCTTCTAAGGGAAGTAGACCAGTCATTAGGATGCCCAAATCTAGGTGCAGCCACAGAAGCAGTGGAATGGAGAAGCTCATGCCCCATGCCCTGCTCAGCGCCCAGATGCAAAGCTCTGCTTTCTCAGGAGCACCACAGGAAAGCCCCTGCCATGGGCAACATTATGCCATATTAGCTTTATTTATCTCTCCTTGTTGGTTTCCTTGGGGTGGGTGGTGAAGAGTACTGGGGACTGAACTCAGGGTCAACTAACTACTGAGCCACCTGAAACTCTTGTTTACAATTTTGTAAATATATTTTTTATATTTTATTTAGAGATAGGGTCTCACTAAATTGCTAAGGCTGGCCTTGAACTTTCGATCCTCCTGCCTCAACGAGCCTGTTTTTTTTTTTTTAAATCATCTGTTCATCTTAGAGTAATTTCAGACTTACTTATAGAAAAGCTGCAGAGACAGTTCAAAGAGACCCTGTAAACTTTCCACCCAGTTCCCCTTAATGTTAAGCCTTATAAAATCATGGTGCATTTATTAAAACCAAGAAGGTAATATTGATACATCATTATTATTAAGTCTCAGACTTTAATTCTGAATATTTTAATACCCCAGGAATCTGATAGTTCATCCATAACTTCTTCAAGACACATCTCTAAAGTATAAGGCTACCCTTTCTGCTGCCCCAAATAAACTGTGGGTGGTGCCTACTGGTACAGCTGAAAAGGGCTGAGATATTCAGACAAAGATGAGCAAGAAAAGAGTTCTGGCTCATTTTGACATAGCCACAGACATGAATCACACACAGAAAAAGGATTTTTTCATTGTGCTAAGATAAAAACATGGATTTAGTGATTTTGAATGATTTTGGAGGATGTTCCAAACTACCAAAAAAAGAGTCACTTTAGCAGAATATGTAGTTTCTGATCAAAACTCCAAAGACAGCCAGAGAATAACATGCTCACACACCACACACCTCAACATTATTTAGAAAAGCATCTCATGAAGAAAATGAGGCACCGTGATTGCACTTACCACAGAACTGCAGGAAAAAGCAAGGGAACCGGAGAACTGAGAACCTGGCCCATGTTCACTAGAGATACAGAACCCTGGTCCATCTCGCTAGAGAACAAATGCATCACTATGGGGAGACGCAACATTAACCTGTGGCCACACTCGCCCGCCTGCTGTCTGTTCTCCAACCACAGCCAGCAAGCCCCGCTTGGCCACAGCGGCTACACTGATGTCGCCCCTTCCCAATCAGAGGCTCCTTTCCACCACTCCTCCTCTGAGAGCAAAAAGAGCCCAGGAATTTCGTGGCTTACCTTCCAGTGGGCACCTGGACTTGACTCAACTTCGGCGCGGACAGGATCCCTTCTTATGCGGTGAACACTCGCCTCTATCCTGACTCATTAGTCTTTCCTGCGCCCCCAAAGTCTTACTCATCTGTGTCATACCAAAAGCACCTACCACCATGCAGCACAAGGCTACTGAGCAGATGACTTTCAGATGGAGAAGGAGGTCACAGGGGGACATCACTTGCAGTGACTTGGATGCTTTTCACAAAACCATACAAATATAGAAATTCTGTTGCAGCCAGCCACTCATGTCACTCCACAAGTGTGGATGACCTCAGGACATAAGCCATGTGATCAGAACCCCAACCAACAGAGCAGCAGAAGGAAACCTCACCGCAGTCACAGGTGTGAGTCCAACACACAGGTGGGTAATCTGGCACTCGGAAGTTAAGACCTTATAACAGAGCAAGCAGGCTGTTAGCTGGGGGAAGGGGTGACTTACCAGAGGTATAGGAAAATGTGTTGCATACTGCAGGTGGCGGAGGAGGTCATAATTAGATGGGAAAATCAACTCCCTCGGTTTTTCCCTCTTGGCCAACTTCTCTCCATTAAGTGACATTCTTCTGCCCAAGGAAGGGTTGGCGTTCTCACAGGACTCTCCAGGCATGGGAGAAAAAATCTAAGTCATGTAAAACAAATGTTGGAGATTATCAATGAAAGAGGGAAAAACCAACCCACAGAGCTACATTCCAGATCTCCACACACAAAAGAGGCTCCTGTAACAACACCCCTTCCTGCTTAACCACTGAGTAGAGAGCATGCAAAAATGTTGTTGATTTCCACAAAATTCACATTCAGATCAGTAGGAATTTAGTAGAATACTGCCCCACTTACAAGTGAAAATGAAAACCACACAGAGGCTAAAAAGGGACCAATGTGACCACTTCCTGGAGGATCAGAGAAGGAGGAGCCTTAGGGGTGCGTGTGTTCCCCTCAGGGCGACACTTGCTCCAGAAAGTGGGGACATCGCAGCAGCTAACTAGTAAGATTAGCAAACAACAGGCATCAGGGCCTCCCATGCACCCTAGACAATATGTCTTATGGAGTATCACACCAAGACTAGTGACTATCACATCATCATTATCCTGAAACACAGAGAAGGATTAATGTACAGCTCCCGAGCACACAGCTGCTGCTCAGGAGCCCAGACATACACAGCAGAGCAACAGGCACAGACACAATGAAACCACATGCATGCACTCCTGAGAGGTGATGACCTCAGGATGC